CCCTCACACATACTGCACCCAAACCAACAACCCACCCTCACACACACTACCTCATCTAACTCCCCACCCTCACACACACTGTGCCCCATCCAACTCCCCACCCTCACACACACTGTACCTCATCTAACTCCCCACCCTCACACACACTGTACCTCATCTAACTCCCCATCCTCACACACACTGTAACCCATCCAACTCCCCACCCTCTCACACACTGTGGACCTTGCAACTCCCTACCCTCACACACACACTGTACCCCATCCAACTCTCACCCTCACACACACTGTACCCCATCTAATTCATCACTACCTCACACATACTGCACCCAAACCAACACCCCACACTTACACACACTGTACCCCATCTAACTCCCCACCCTCACACACACTGTGCCCCATCCAACTCCCCACCCTCTCACACACACTGTACCTCATCTAACTCCCCACCCTCCCACACACTGTAACCCATCCAACTCCCCACCCTCACACACACTGTGCCCCATCCAACTCCCCACCCTCTCACACACACTGTACCCCATCTAATTCACCACTCCCTCACACATACTGCACCCAAACCAACACCGCACACTTACACACACTGTACCCCATCTAATTCACCACTCCCTCACACATACTGCACCCAAACCAACACCCCACACTTACACACACTGTACCCCATCTAACTCCCCATCCTCACACACACTGTACCCCATCCAACACCCCACCCTCACACACACGTAGTGTGCTCTATCTAAACCCCCTCCCTTTCACACACACACGCACGCACACACACACACGTACGCACACACACACACGCACACACACACACGTATGCAAAAAACGCACACACACGCACACGCACGCACACACACACGCACACACGCACACGCGCACACACACACGCACGCACACACACGCACACACATGCACACACGCACGCACACACACACACGCACGCACACACACACTGAGGACCATATCCAGCTCCCCACCCTGTCTCACTGGTAAATGTTGTGTTTCTTTGTGTCTGAATTCTGGGTCTGATTGATTGACAGTGCCTGAATGATCATGGAGAACATACCTGGATCAATCGCCCGGCCATCGAACTGCTGGGGAAAGAAGGAATTTTGGAGAACACGTTAGATAGTTGATGCTTTCCTTCCTGTGACTTTCCTTCAGTCCCTGCTGAATAAATCCAGTGGTGATGTCCCTTTGAGTCTGTGTGATATCCCTGCTGTGTGTGTGGGTGATAACCATCTCACTGCATGTGCAGTGTTTATATTCACTCACACCCTGCACTAATATCACAGCCTCAGACCTGACATGTTCCTGAGTATTAACACTGAACAATGCTCAGAGAGAGTGCGTGCGTATACAGATAGACATTGAAAAGTTCATAGGCAATCATTGACGATTGAAGATGACTTGTTTCTCTCTGATGGGTTTGGTGATTCCCGGCGAATCTGATTTCTGGGCCTTGCCACATGAGGGGCAAATGTTTGTGTGCACTCAGATTTCTACACGTTTCCAGTGAAGTCTCACTATGCGTTCACTGACTCCCAAACCACAAGCCAGAGAGGGCTCTGAGCAGTGGGGAAAGTTTGATGTCTGTAGGCCGGCCTCCAGGATACTCTTCAATAACTGGTGGTCGTGTCCAGCACTCTGGGGTCTGGGGGTGGAACAGTGTCTTTGGGAGCCCGCTCCCACGCTTCCGGTCAGTGCTCTGCCCTGTGGAGTCAGTTCCGAAGAACAAGTGGCTCAATGATAAATTGTACAACTAGGAGAAGCTGTTCACCCACCTCTCCTGCTACAGAATCTGGGGGATCTTGTGAAAATATCACTGGCTGGATTTTCTCCATTGCCCTTAGAGTCTGATGTTGGATACTGTGTACAGAGAGATGGAGTGATAGAGAAAGAAGGACATGCAGGTAGAAAGAGAGAGAGAGTGTGTGGGAGAGAGAACGATAGCAGGAATGCAGAGGGACAGAGGTTAAAGTGAATAAGCTCTGGTTCCCATTCCGTTGCTGTTCAATCTCTATTTTAACATAAAAATTCAAAGAACTGCGGCTGCTGTAAATCAGGAACAAAAACAGAAGTTGCTGGAAAAGCTCAGCTGGTCTGACAGCGTCTGTGAAGGAAAAAACACAGTTAACGTTTTGGGTCCAGTCACTCTTCCTCAGAACAGTTCTGAGGAAGGGTCACCAGACTCAAAGCATTAACTCTGATTTTTTTTCTTCATAGATGCTGCCAGACTCGCTGAGCTTTTCCAGCAACTTCTGTTTCTGTCCCTATTTTAACATAGCTGTATTCATTTCCCACCAGAATCACAGGCTGGGAAGTTAACTGGAACAATAGATCATGTACCCACAGTGAAAAACTGAAAGCAAAAACACACTTGTTTGTGGGAAACACACACAGAGATTGTAGGTATGAGCCCACACATTTTAATAGCTGTGTATTTGGAAAACAGTGACAGGATCAAACAAAGTCAGCATGGATTTATGAAATAGAAATCCTGCTTGATAAATCTACTCACATTTTTCAGTGATGTACGTAGTAGAGTTGATAAGAAGGAGCCAGTGGATGTGATTTACTTGGATTTTCAGAAGGTTTTTGATAATGTCCCACAAAAGAGATTAGCATGTAACATTAAATTGCATGTGGTTGGGGGTAGTGGAGGGACATGGGTAAATAACCAGCTGGTAGACAGGAAACAAAGAGTAGGAAGAAATGGGTCTTTTTTCTGAGTGACAGGCAATGGGGTACCATAGGGATCAGTGTTTGGGATCCCAGCTGTTCACAATGTATGTCAATGGTTTGGATGGGGGCACTAAATGTAATATCTCCAAGTTTGCAGATGACACAAAGCTGGGTGGGAGGGTGAGCTGTGAGGAGGATGCAGAGATGCTTTAGTGCAATTTAGACAAGTTGAATGAGTGGGTAAATGCAAGGTTGGTGAAGCATAATGTGGATAAATGTGAGATTATCCACTTTGATCTGATCTGATCATCCATGACCATAATGAATGGTGGAACAGGCTCAAAGAGCCCAATGGCTACTCCAGCTCCTGTCCTCTGTGTGTCTCTCTCTCTCATGAGCATAGGGTGTGAGGACACTCACACAAACATACACATGTGACTTTTCCGTTAAGCTGAGTACAAGTCTCTGCTCACCTGGCTGAGGGAGATGATTGATGGTGATTGCTTTTTCTCTGCAGTAGGACCCCCAGTGTCATTTCCCTTCTGTGCTTCAGCATCAGGCAGGGATCTGCTGTGAGGAGGAGGAACAGGAGTGTCACAGAAATTTATAGAATCATAGAATCCCTACACAGTGTGGAAACAGGCCCTTCGGCCCAACAAGTCCACACCGACCACAGAGCATCTCACCCAGACCCATTCCCCCTATAACCCACCTAATCTACACATCCCTGAACACTACGGGCAATTTAGCATGACCAATCCACCTAGCCTGCACATCTTTGGACTGTGGGAGGAAACCAGAGCACCCGGAGGAAACCCACGCAGACACGGGGAGAATGTGCAAACTCCACACAGACAGTCGCCCGAGGCCAGAATCGAACCCGAGTCCCTGGCACTGTGAGGCAGCAGTGCTAACCACTGAGTCACCTACTGTCTTTTCAGCTTTAGCCTCAATCCCGTGACTCTTTTTAAAGTTTTCTTCATGAGTAGTGTCAGATCTCACTCTGGGTGTCAACGATTCACAACCATTCCTATGTTTTGCTGTAACCTCTGAGCTAGTTCACTGCTGCAACATTACTCCTTCGCAACACAGCTCTGGCTCATTTCTGCTCCATCCAGCAGCAATTGAACTGTCAAAAACAGGCAGATTAAACCCTCGGTGTAGTTCCTGTGCCGTGTGTGTTGAGCAGTTTGCATTGGTTTTTCTGAATGAGGGTAATTCTTGTGAATTATTCTTGAAGATATCAGCTCCTATCAGAGACACAGGAGCACTCACAGCTCAGAAACAAGAATCTTGATTTAACCTTGAACAGAATGAAACAGCCCAGGGCATTTCACAGCAGCAGCGAGGCATTTAATCCGGTATAGGGATTTAAGAACAGGGATGAGGATTTTAAAATCAACCCATTGCCTGACCAGGAGCCAATGTGGGTTGGTGCATGAGCACAGGGACGATGGGAGGAGGGAATGGGTTTAGATGGGAGTGAAGACATGGACAGCAGAGTTTTAGTGGAGCTCAAGTTTTCAGGATACAATGTAGGAGAGCCACCACCAGTGGTGTCACAGGTAGACAGAACGGTGAAGAAGGCATCTTGTACACTTGCCTTCATTAGTCGGAGCACTGAGTATAGGAGTTGGGATGGCATATGACGGCTGTACAGGAAAATGGAAAGGCCGCATTTGGAGGACAGCACACAATTCTTGTCGCCCTGCTTTAGGAAGGATGTCATTACATTGGAGAGGGTGCAAAAGAGATTTACAAGGATGTTAGCGAGACTGGAGGGTTTGAGTTTTAGGGAGAGACTGGATAGGCTGGGACATTTTTCCTTCGATCGTCAGAGGCTGAGGGGTGACCTTGTAGAGGCTTACAACATCTCAAGGGGCATAGATAAGGTGAATAGATAACGTCATTTCCACAAGGCAGGGGAGTCCTAAACTAGAGGGCATAGGTTTAAGGTGAGAGGGGAAAGATTTAAAAGGGACCTGAGGGGGGTTTTCACACAGAGAACGTGGTACAGGCACGTACAATTACAACATTCAAAAGACATTTGGACAGGTACATGAATAGGAAAGGTTTAGGGGGATATAGGTCAAATGCAGGCATGTGGGACTAGTTAAGTTTGGGAAACCTGGTTGGCACAGACGAGTTGGGCCAAAGGGTCTGTTTCTGTGCTATATACCTCCAAGACTCTATGACTCAGTGTAACAGAATAGTGGAATTGAAAGGGAGCAAAAGAGAGAACGTAGGTTTTGGCAACAGGTGAGTTAGACAGAGGTAAAGTTTTATTTTCCTTTATTCACAGGATGAGGGTGTTGCTTTTAGGCAGCATTTATTGCCCAGAGGGCTGTTAAGCATCAACCACATTGCTGTAAAGATGGCAGCTTCCTTCCCAACAGACTTTGGTGAACCAGATGGGTTTTTCCCCTGACAAAGGATTCATGGTCATCATTAGACTCTTAATTCCAGATATTTATTGAATTCAAATTCCACCATCTGCTGTGGAGGTATTTGAACCCGGGTCCCCAGGATGTTACCTGGTTTGCTGGATTAACAGTCCAGCGATACCACCAGGCCATCGCCTTCCCTGACAGCAATGTTACCGAGGTGGAAATGCACAGCAGGTTGAGTAATCATGTGGGTTATATGATTGAAAATTTGCTTTCAGGGATCAAGGTTAAAGCAGGCAGATTTCATCTCAAACTACCTGTCGCTGTAATTCCCCACTTTGAGGTTCTCCTGAAGGTGTGCCTGTTTGATCCAGCCTCGGCTTGCCTGCCTTCATTTCCCAATGTGGTTCAGGGTCAGATTTTGCTCTGACAATTGCTCCTACAAAACGCCTGGAGATGTTTCTCTCGACAAAGAGTGCTACAGAAGTACAGCTTGTTTGCGTTGATAAACAGGTGGAGGTACAGAGGTGAAAATACAGGGCTTATTAAAAACCTTTCCCTGTATTTGAAGCAGAAAACCAGGGGAGGGCAGGCTGACAGCGTATAAGAGGTGATTCCTCAGCTGGGTGCCAGGTTTGTCTGACTGATAAGGAGACCAGCAGGCCCTGGGTCAACTATCAGCCCTGGGACTGGCACTAGATTTGCACAGAACTGTGGGGGCAGCTACTTAGCAGAGGCAGCTGTGTCTCACTGCTATTAAACCAGTCTGACTGTGGAACAGGATGAAATTTGACAGCATTTAATACCTGATCCTGCAAATCCTGCAAATAGCACTCACGAGACAGGGAGGTGGGGAATCCATTGACCCAGCACAGTGCACGTTTCCTGATGTCTTATTAACTGGTATGTACCCACAGATAGAGCCATGATTCCCTACCTGACCTGCAGCAGGTCCTCAGCCAGCTGAGCCTGTGGGAAAGTTTGTTTACAACACCAGCTCCTGCAAAAAAAAATTACAGGTTAAATTTTCACAAGGCAATGAGAAAAACAGCATAAAAAATCTCACACATACACACGGAAGCTACCCTTGTACATCAGGAACAAACTACTATCCACTAATTCCATCAATTAATTCCAGTCTCTGGAACCACACTGAACATTTTTTGCACAATTTCGAAAGGACAGGGTTTGCAAAACAGCAACCAGAAATTCAAAAACACCACGATCTGCCATTTCAGCGAGAGAGTACTGAGGGAGTGCTGCACTGTCAGCGAGAGAGTA